TTTAGTGGGAGCTTTAAGTAATAAAGTAAATAGAGATTTACTTACTAAATTTATTGTTGAATACACTGATTACAATTAGGAGATCAAACAGGATTTTCATCCACCTGTATAGTACAGTAGCCTTGTTAAAATATATTTGATGAAAAGTAACAAGGAGAATAAAAATCCTAAAACTTACACAAAAGTCATGTTGGACATGATTTCATGTAAGAGACCTGATGTCACATTTGATGACAAACGGGTATTAATTGTTGAAGAATTTTTTTTCCTCTAATTGTAATATTATAGTTCATAAGGATCCATTTAGTCATTTCAACGTGTTATGAATATAAGATATCAATAAATGGATTTTAAAATAACCTTCTTGAATGGATATCTTTAAGAAGATATTTACATATTATAGAATCAAGTATGTAAAATTCAAGAAGATAAAATTGATTAATTGAATCAATTAAAGTTATGAACTTAATCAATCAAACATTCATTTTGATGAAATGTTTAAGGAAATTGATTTTAATCATATCCTTAAAAAGAAATAATGTGTGTATAAGGAACAATAAAGTAAGTCCATTATATTCCTATCATTGCATGTTGATGACATATTGCTCATTAAGAATGATATTTTAATGTCATGATTAAAAGTATGATTTAGTTCTTTATGAAGGATTTTCTTTTGACATTCTATATCGTAGATCTTAAACTCTATATAGATAGAGAAATAGATATATAGAGTTGTCACAATCTACTTATATGGATAAGATCCATAGAAGATTCAACTTAACAAGATTCTAAGAAAAGAATGGTTCCTAAACAATCACTCTTTAAGGAAATGTATCCTAAAAAGGTTGCTATTGATCTTGTAAGTAGTTTTCAATCCAATCCTAATAATAGAAAGTCTGTTTCGGGTTATATTTATAGTGTCATGTTAAATCATTAAAAGAAGGAATATGGATTAATGAGTTACTCCATAAGCTTAATATTATTTCTTGTAATAATTTTCTTTCTCATTATTATTTGATAGTAATGGAGATGTTGCAAGAAGCTTAGAAAGATATTTATTAATTATTCGGTTTAGTTCCACCACTATACTTCATATCTAAAGCAGAATGCTTTATTTTGATAACATGTTCAATATTTGCAAAAAAACTTTTAGGAACCGTGCTTTGCACGGGTCTAAATACTAGTAGTAATAATAATTTGCCCTTGAACATCCAATATAAATTATGTAATGATATTGTAATGTTAATAAATTTAATTGTTGCACATAATTTGGGTATTATTTATATAATTGTTATATATATCCTTAGAAGTTATTTTGTTAGATCATACACTGTGATGGTCACTTGCTTGGAGATATGATCTAACTTATAAATTTCTTAAATTTGTGCTTAACCTATAACTAGTAAAGGATAACTTTATTATAACAGGTTATTATGCATGACACCGATATATGAGATATGGTGGTGGGTCTCAACCATTGGGAATGAAGATTCTCCGGGTGTATGTCATAAGCACGCATTATGATGTGTGTAGCACTAGACCGTATTTGAATTCTCTAGGATGAGTCACCTAAGAGATAGAGAATTCAAATTGTTACATGGTCCCTTTGACTTGATGATATTGTCATTTTCGATTTGATAATTAAATAGGTGAGTTGTCCTACTTAAAAGAGTTGCCTAGAATAAATGATACTGGAAGGGATTGAATGTAAGATATTATTTATTAATAATTAATCCCATATTATGGAAGAGCTTTTATGAACAATTGGTCGGATAGGGATTTGATTGTTAAATTAAAATTATTAATTTGATTAATAATTGGTTCTCGATATGGGACCCAATTGGTCTCACTAATGTCATTAGAAGAGGTATACATGCAATGCAATTCTATTTCTATCCTTAATTGTTAGAGGTATACATGCAATACAATTCTATTTCTATCCTTAATTGTTATGGATAAAGTTTTTGAATAAATCTATTTCTATCCTTAATTGTTATGGATAAAGTTTTTGAACAAATCTATTCTATCCTTAATTGTTATGGATAGAGTTCTAGATAATTATGAATTGTTTAAAGTTAAAATCTCTAAGACTAGTGTAATCCTATAAATAGGGTTCATATGTAGCCTTATGAGAGGTTAAGAGAAGAGATTGAAAATCTTATGAAGATAATATGAAGAAATAGATTTTTGAGAACCTATCTCTCAGTATTGCTCCTCTACGGTGACGGGTGTATTTCAATTGGAGGCTTTTTCTCTTGAGGAAGCTATTTCGGATTGATCTCGGGACAGATTATTGTAGAAATTCGGAAAGCGTTTCAGGTATTCTTCTAATATTCAATTAATTTAGATTAATAGTCATGATATGCTTTTTCCGCTGCGTTGTATGTCATGATTCCAACAGGAGGATCGATTGGCGTCGTAGGTTTTGGGTTCGAAAGGCACTTGAGGCGGCGGCGGCGGCGGAGGAGGAGGAGGCGGAGGAGATTGGGATCGGGATTGAGGCGGAGGAGATTGGGATTGAGGCGGAGGAGAAAGAGGAGATAGGGAATTTGGGATCGGGTTTTGTTTGTTTTGGTTTTGGGAATACAGTGGGCGGGCAAACGGGCGAATAAACATTGCCCATTTAGTGTCCATTTAGAATAATGTAAAATTAACCCGTCCAATTAGACCCATTTAATTAAATGGGTGGGCGTTGGGCGGACCAAATGATGGGCGGGTCAGGTGGGTAAATGGGTATGAGCCAAAATTGACATCCTTAGAGCAGTGGAAGCTTACATGGGTGCTATTATTGTGTCAAGAGTTAAAAGATACTCTACGTTGTACTTGTCGCAAACTAAACTCTCCAAAGACATTAACGTAATAATGAATGAAAGTAGAATCAAGTTACGGTAGAAGAGGCTTCGGCATATGAGCGAGAAGGGAATGATGACTCTATCCCATAGAGAACCTTCTACATGCATGAAATAGAAAGAACACATTCGAATAGGAGTGCACATTGCACACGGCCGAGAAGAAGAATCATGTTTCCTTCAAGAATTCCCTGCCTTCAAGAAAGTCAAATATACTTGAACTTATAAATTGGGATGTGTGGAGTCCTATAAAGACAAAAATACTTGGTAGCTTGCTTTATTTTTTTTACCATCATTGACGATCATTCCAAGGAGGTGTGAGTTTGTACTTTAAAGATAAAATATCAAGTGTTAGTTGTGTCCAAGTGATTTCATGCCTCCATTAAGGAACAACTTGAAAATAAGTTAAAATGCATTCGCACGAATGAAAGAGGTGAATATTTAGGTTCATTTGACTACTATTGTAGAGAAAAGGGTACTCAACATCAGAGAAATCCACCAAAAAATCTATAGTTTGAATGATTTAGCTCAGAGTATGAACATGACACTTACTGAGAGAGTTAGATCCTTACTTTCACATGCAAGGTTGCCAAGACAATTTTAGAGAAGCTTTGAGTATAGTTGTTCATGTGCTAAATCTGACACCAATATGTGTTCCGTTACAGCTTGATGTATCAAATCGAGTTCGCCAGGGAAGGATATTTATTATGATCATTTACGTGACTTTGGATGTAAGGCATTTGTGCACATTCCTAAAGATGAGGGGTCCAAGCTAGTTTTCAAGACTTGACACTGTGTATTCTTGGGTGATGGTCAAGATGAATTTGGTTGTGTGTTTTATAATCCAACAGATCGAGAAGAAACTAGTCAGAAGTCAAGATGATGTATTTGTTGAGGATCAAACCATGTAGGGGACATAGATAAAATTGACAAGGTAAGACCTCAGCATAGGGTAATTTAATCGATTTGGATCCAGTTCCTCCATTTATAATACCAGAACAATTTGGAGATGATGATCAAAATGACCGGCAAGATGCACATACTCCCATTCGGATAGAGGCAAATGATAATGCACTTGAAGATGTGCCAACGCTGGATGTTCCACCACAAGTTCCTCTCAAATGGTCCACCAGAGACCGGCATCCTTCAATAAGATACTCTCCGATGAGTATGTACTACTTGGCAATTGGGGAGAGAACCCAATAAGTGAATAAATAAAATCAATTTGCACGTTTTTCTTTTCTCGGTGCATAAATTAACAAGTCTATTTATTTATTTATTGGGGTTATTTGTGCTTTCATACCTTAAAGTTTACAGTATTTTAACTTTGATATCCCAAAGCTATTTTTTGACATTTTGATACCCCCAAACTTTACAACTTCTTCTAACTTTAATGCACCAAAAATATTTGAGCTTTGCTACAGGGACCCAAAATATGAGACCAATAGGTGGGACAAGTGAGGTGCCCCCTACTATTGGATAATGAGTTGTCCATCATTAATGATGGACAACTCATTATCCAATAGGAGGGAGACACCTCACTTGTCCCCCTTATTGGTCCTATATTTTGGGTCCGTAAGGAACTTTTCATGTTAAAAAGGTATAAACGTTGGAGTATATTAGTTAAAAAATGTGTAAACTTGGGATTTCGAAGTGTGTGGCAAAAAACATTGAGGCACTGATGTCTAAACTTTGGGTATCATAGTGTTGAATAAAAAGGACAAATTTTCAAAACCAACCTATTTACAAATTTAATAGCAGAAAACAACCTATTTCAGATTTAATTGCAAAAACCGACCTGGTTTCAGCACTGGAGCTGAAACCAGGTCGGTTTTTGAAAATTTTTATCCGAAACTTCACGGAAGTTGAACTCCCGTGAAGTTTCGTAGTTCAAATTTTTTTTTTTTGTACTGGGAAACTTCACGGGAGTTCAACTCCCGTGAAGTTTCGAAAGTTTTTTCACAAAAACCGACCTGGTTTCAGCGCCAAGGCTGAAACCAGGTCGGTTTTTGCAATTAAATCTGAAGTGGGTTGTTTTCTGTGATTAAATTTGTAAATAGGTTGGTTTTGAAAATTTGTCCTGAATAAAAAATTTAGGATATCAAAGTAAAGAAAAGTGTAAACGATAAGGGTACCAAAGTGCAAATATCCCTCCTTCTCGTCAAACTTTGAAGCCAAATTCTTGCTGTAGTAGTTCTTCTTCTCTTTTCCCTAACGAACACCAGCTTAGCTATTATGATAACGATTATATTTAGATTATATTTATTGGACTAGATTTAGATCATCAAAAGATTAGATTTTGATTGAGATTAGATTGAGGAATTTTGAAGAATGACAATCTCAACGCTGAGTTCCACTCAGAAATACGCAGCGGGAGCAGTTTTCGCCCTCGCCCTTCGTCAAGCCCAGATTCACCAGTCTCATCCCCTCGGATTCGGCGGTGCTCGACGCCGCGACGATGACCAAGACGACGATGGTGATCAAAACCCTGCTTCAAGCAGCAGCAGCATCGATTCTTCCCATCTCTGGACCCACCCCTCTTGCGGCCTTCTTCGTCCCGTCTTCAGGTTCTCCTTTCTTCATTCTTTAATTTGCCTCTGTTTTTTTTAAAGCTTTATCCTACGATCAATTATTTTATTTACAAAATTAGGTTTTTGGAGATCGACGACAAGGCTTGGCCTGCCCTTGAGGAGACCGCGGCCTCCTCTGTAGTCAAGCATCATATTGGGGCTGTACTAATCTAACTACCTAAACGCTTTACTTTCTTTAATCTCTTTCTTGTTAATCTTTGTTATCTTTACTTTCCTAAAACCATGTCAAACCCTAACCTCAGTATCCATTATAAAAAAATAAAGTTCTTTAGGTTAATTTTCGAAGATATTGATGAAGAAAACAAAGAATTTTCTAGAAGATCTGAACAACAACATGCTCTGGCCAAAGCCGTTGACGTCACGGTCAAGAGCTTCGAAGCCTCTTCTTCTTCAGTAAAGACCAAGAACAAGTATCATGAGCAATCTCAGAAATATCATCCTGAAACAACAAATCGTAATAGCATAGCGCATGAAAATCCTCCCGAAAATTTGGGGCTGGTGAATTCCGATTCATTAGCTAGAACAGAGGAAGTTTCCGATCAAATCAGCGAGCTAGTGCATGGCGAAACCTCTATGGGTGTTGGTGATCAAGTGAAGTATCAGCGTAAAATTTCAGTTCTTTTTGAGCTTCTTTCTGCATGTGTGGCGGATACACCAGAAGACAAAAGAAAATCTTCTAGAGATAGAAAGGGGTATGATGCTCGACATAGGGTTGCTCTGCGATTACTGGCAACATGGTTGGATGTTAAGTGGATACAAATGGTATGTGTCACTTAACTGCTTAATCTGTTTTTCCCTGATATATTATGCTATGGATCTTTTATTTCTTGAACTACTTCATGTAAATATTTTACACTAACACAAATATCCTTCAATATGTTCCGATGAATTTGTGCCATGTGCTTCTGCATTCATTTTAAATTAGGAGCCATCATGGAGCTGAGGACGATTCAGTATTCAAGTATTTCTCAATATCAGTTAAAATCCATGGAAGAATTTGGTGGACATTCTAAGGAATTTTTGTCCACTTGACATCAAACCTCGATGAATTAAAATCCCAGACACTCAAATTATTGCCCCTCTTATGAAACCTTGAAAGAAGTTGCACAGATCTAGTCTTGAGCATGTCGTATGACAGAAAGCTTTGAACTCGCATTTTGAGGTTATCTTGGATTAGAGTGCCTGCTTATGGAAAGGTTTAGGAAGAGTGTGGCGAAGTTTGATACAAGGCATAGGATTTCTTGGATCTAATTTTGTTCTAATTGTAGATTGCATTCATTCAGGGCAGAAAGGCAGATTATGCTTATATTTTCTGCACATTAGGACATCTAACCTCTTGACCAGTCTCTCTGTGGAGCAATACAGAAGTGTCTAGCTGTTCCTAGGTGAGTCCCTAATTAGCCTCACAGTTTTCTGGATAGCTTCGTTCAGATGCATTCGTCATTTTTCTTTGCGTGACACTGCATAGATATTTGAAAGTTCTTTTCTTTACATTTGGGTGAGGCTTTTTGTGGGTTTTCATACAGCTGTTGGATTATCTTTTATTTCCTTGCTTCTGTTTAGGTTTCTTTTGGCTTCATGATTCTGATGGGTTCTTCGATTTGTTGTATTTACCCCATAGTGGTGGAATCTTTCCACTTTCTCATAGTATCAGTAAATGGATATTATAGTATTCACACTGTTGATGCCTAGAGTGCCTCTTTGCGGGAAAGACTAGTAAAGATGTGAGATCATAGAAAGAATCTAAAAAACATGATATGGACATGGACACAAACATGACAGGACGCAGAGACACAGAAATAACTATTCCTTATAAAGTAGAAATAGATGCCTCAACTCATCATTTATCTATAGAATAAGGTGCATCCCATTCTCAACATAGCCTAAATCTATCATTTTCTACAAGTTACATGTTAATTTTTTCTAATCTTTTTTCTATAAGCATATGATTTTTAATACATGTGATGTGGGTAGTAAATGCATACCTTAATATGCATTTATTATGAAAACAGATGTTTAATAATCATATAATGTGCCCTAGATTTGTGTTTGAGAAGAATCCAAAAAGTGTGTGAAAAGATATTTTGTAAAATCAAAACACATATGGAAAGTATCTGATACTTGTGCAAGGAGTATCAATGTGTGACGCATGTCCGACATGTCCAACACAAACATGACTTGATCATACAAGTGCTCTTATTACATAGTAAAGGATTGAATGACATGAGGATGAGCAAGCGTCAAAAAGAAAGTGTAGTAAGCTTGGGTATATCCTCTCTCTTAACTTTCTTTCTTTTCCTCCGTCTTTGTTTTCTTTTTCTTACTTTTGTAAAACTGCTCTAAAAAGTGGAAGCGCTTGAACTTAATGAAACTACATACAAAGCATGCACAGGATAAGGAGCCATGGGCTTGTAGCTAGCAAATCATGTGGGTTTAGTAGCTCCATTTCTTGATGTTCGATTGTTTATACTGAATTTATATTTTGACAATCAAATGATTTTGGAAGAATTGCTCTAGTCCTATTTTTCCCCTTTCCATGAGTATCAGTCATAAGACATTTGGGCTTCAATCTTATTTCCATGCATAAGTTTCTTATTCACTACATTGGCGACATTCAAGAAGTTCAAGGAAGACAAATAAGTCCATTATCCTTTAATGTAGTTATAATTCCTTTCTTTCTTTTTTCAGGGTTGTGTGATTCTCATAAACTTGATAAACAAAGATAACACAACTTTTTTACATGTGCTCAAATAGAAAATGATTGATGGTGACACTATCCCAAGACAAATTTTTATGATTTTAATAGTTCCAATTATGCGAGGAAATAAGCCATGTCAACCTTATAAAGCTGTTCGTTGCATTCACAAGTATTGAGAAACTAGCATATGCTCCTAATCAGTGTTTTAAAAATCAGCCAATTTTGTTGATTTATCACTGATATATAGGGTCTGGTCCAAGGTTGATAAGATTTTTGCAAAAATTTATCGCATATAGTTTTTGTTTAATTTTTCCTAATATTTTAGTGTAAATCGTATAAAGCGCCTGATTTTTCGTGGGTTAAAAATTGCCCAATTTTCTACAATTTACATTCTAAGTGAACTGGTTCGAACTTGGAGACAAAACCCCTCTTTTTTCTATAACCAACCTGCATCTACTAAACAAAAATAGTGCTATCCTATCCTACTCCACATCTGCACATTGTGTAACCCTAATTCTGTCCGCCTCCACCATTCTTTTTCCTAAATTGCTTACAAATTTCTCACATGAAGACCTCTATTGACGACCTCTCTTGATGATCCTCTCTTGATATTTCTTTAAATGTGTTTAGCTTACATTTTAAGACATTATACCGTATATGCTCACCATCTGATATGACACTCCAATTTTACTACTTATCCCTAATATATACCTGATAATCGGGATCTAATATAAATTTTGGCTGTCCGATATATTTCCAATGACCAATATTTAAGACCTAGCTCCGATTACTTTTATGGGTTATGGGAACATGTGGTAAGGAAGAACCCCTAGTGTAACTAACTCTGAGGGCATTATGGATTTTGTACCTTCATGTTTCTTTCCATTTGTTTTCCATCACCCACATGTGAGATGCGATTATGTTTAAGTCATTGAGGATTACATTTGATAAACCTAGAGAAACCTATGAAGATACATGTGAAATTGGGTGTATAAGGGAAAAAAGAGAAGGCGCGAAAATACATTGTTAATGATTTCTATGTATTTCACTTTATCTTATCCATGTCTTGCGTCTCAAGAATTCTAGTTGCAGCTTACATGATTTTTCATTTTTCATCTCGATTTTACAACTGTTTACATCAAGATTTTAAATATCGAATATAGGAGAAATATTGGATGGCCAAAATCCATATCGAGTTGCAGATATTAGGGAAATATCGGAGATGTGTAGTAAATATCGGAGTGCTATATTGGATGATGTGCATAATAATGTTCTAAAATGTTATGTAAACATATTCAATGGAATCTAACTAAAAAATATAAATAGCATACTTACATATCACTAACCAATTGTAGAAAATTATATTTATAAAAAAAGCCTATTAGAATTTGCTAAAAAGTTCGGCAAAACTATATTTGTTTAGCAACAAGCCATATAAAATGACATATCAGCCAACATATTTATTGGTAAATTGGCCATGTTGGGGATATATCGGCGAAAAATTATCAAAAAGCAGTAAGGGATATTGAGACCATATCGTTTTGCGACAAACTTTATAAAAGAATATGTTGGTTGCACTGTTTTAAAAAACCTCCACCTAGTCCGCTTAGGCGTTCGCCTAGGCCTAGGCGGTAACTAGGCCGCCTAACTAGCGCCTAGCGTCTAAACGGTATTTAGGCTGCCCACCTAGATTTTACAAGCGTTTAGGGGAACATTGTCTGCTTACGTGGATTACATCGTATAGGTCTTGGTTATGATTTTATGTGTTGTTGCCTACACGTCATCCAAACTCCATTAACCTCCAAATACGAACACCTCCACTACTTCCTCCGACCTTTAACAAAATCTCATCGACCACCACTTAAATGAAGAAAGAAATCCGCCTAGACACCAGTCCGGCATCTAAGCTTTCTGTAACATTGACATTCACTATAAAGTATAGTATTTTAAAAAAAAAACATCTTAGGTTCTAGCCTTGTTAATTATTATTTTTGGCTATTTAGTATCTAAGTATGCATGATTTATTGTGGAACTAAAATTGCTATATTTTTTTGAAAATTTATATGAATTTATTACATATTGTAATTTGAGTTGAGATGATCTTATAATTTGAGTTGAGAAGTATAAACATACAAAGAGCTATTGTAATTGGTAAACCAAGCAATTTAGTTAATAGTGTTGGTATTTTAGTATTTATGCATCTTTGATTGAGTATATATATATTTATCTTCAAGTATCATAATTAAAAAAAAAATAAATAAATAAACGCCCAGAAACCGCTTAGACGCCCGTCTAGACGACTAAGCGTTGGGCGCCAAGTCCTACGCCTAGAAGCGCCCAACGTTTAATGTAACATTGGTTGGTTGATATATCTGTTGTATTGGGGATATTTAAAACAATAACTTGCACGAATTAGGACCTAAAAGAACTTGGTTGGTAAGTAATTAAGAAAGATGTGATAACGTTTAAGTGTTTAACTTAACTTAGAAGATAGCCTTAAATAGTACTAAATGGAAGAATATGATTTATGTGGCTGACCCAAAATTTTAAATAAAAGATTTGTTCTTGTTCTCATTGTTGTTATCCAGCAACTTTTTCACCATACAAAGGCTCTTTTTTCAAACTGTGATTGGTTCTGTAATAGTTTTTGAATCAACCCTATTGCCACACTAGCCGGTTGTGGATTGACATTATTGATATCATATTTATTAAAGACATTTAGTTCAATTTATAGATCTACCCCTTTGCCATGTATGCTTATCACTATAATTTCATACTAATTATTTTTAACTAACGGTTGTGAACCAACTTAATCATGAAGCTGAAAAATAGCTACTAAAGTTTACTCCTTCATGTCCTCCAACGAAAATAAAACTTCAAATTGTGGAAAGGAGGAAATTACAGTTAAAGATTTTTCATTTTAAATATCCCAAATAAATAGCTTGCTAGTACCACTTGGACCTATTTTACTGTAGTACCACTTGGACCCATTTTACTGTAGTGTTTGCGATGGCATGACATGGAGTTTTTCATGAGTTTTTTGGTTCAATGAAAAGGGGGTGGGGGTTTATGATACCAAATTTGTCACGCCCCGGTTCCAAAAATGTAATAACTTGGAACGTGACTCGGCCGGCAATGCAACCATTCGGCCACATTCATGTCTCTAGATCATCCTGTATATAGATATAAAATCAAAACTATACCATAGAGCATGTAACTAAGACAATAAAAGAAATATATAGATGAAGAAATCTACAAAAAGGACGGAGTCCAATTACGAGTTCACAACTATCCACCAAGGGAAAGGGTAATAAATAAAAAAATTACATCATAGTCTAGAAAAAAAAAAGTCACATGACTCAAGAAAAAGTCTAAACCAAATAACTATCTAAACCAACTGAACTGAAGAACTGATGGACTAAAAGGTGATAACTATCGTTGGACTTGCTCCTCAAAATATTCTCGATCCCGCGAAGGAAGAACAGTTCCCGAGTCTGGGGTGTGCAAACCCCAAGGGAGTCAGAAAACTCCCAACAAGCATGTAAATGAAGGAATTGTGCGCGTGTAAGTGTATGTAGCCGGTATAAAGGAAAAAATAAAAACTCAATAAAAGATGATAAAAAAATGCGAATTGTAGATATTAAACAAGGTCTACCACAAGGCACACAAGCACATTATTATTATTTTAGATGTTATTTGAATTAGAGAAGAATATTTTCATGTATATAAGTCAGGTTCCTATAAACCGTCCCGGGAACACGACTTCAAGTCAGGATTGACCCTTAGCTCTTATATAGAAATCTGGATATTAAGAATGCGCATGAGCCCGCTTATATACATATTATATTCTCCGTCCAATTTCCCTTTATAAACCTCATATTTATTCATTTATTTTAAGTGGTTGTGCATGAAATATTGTTCATTAACCACAGAGTTACCGTTGAACGGCTTTCGTAAAATTTATGAAAAATAACTGTGCCCCAAAACATGTCCACAATCAAGATGGGTGCATCGTCTAGTCAATGTTATTATAATAATAGTAATAATCAACAGAAACTCCTCAAATTGGGATATCGATGTCGAGGGTATAACCATACTATGATAACGCGTTTATGAATCATATTTTTTGACGGAAGTCATCTTCATGCACAATCAACCCTATTAAATGTCACTAGGTGATCAAACATAGCATTAGGTGATCCAATAAGCATCAAGAGATCAACATTATTATCATTCATCTTAACAAAAGGAAAATAAATAGTTAACATAATTGTTTAGTGTCAAAACGTGCAAAACGGTTTTAAATTTGATAGCATAGAAATCTGCAAAATTGGTTTTAGTGAGCAAAAGACTCAAAAGGGTCTGAAATTTGATATTGGATCCTAACTGGGTCAAACGGGTCTATAATTTGAAATCATAAACCCAAACGGGTCTGAATCGATAATGGGTCCGAACTGGGTCGGGGTTGCCTTCATAATAGACCCAAATATAATTTTTGTGTAAAAAAGAACCCATGACCTAAGAGCTAATAACCAAGTCATCTAACCACAACTCCAACCACTACTTTGTGAAAAATTGACTGCAATAAACAATATTGCAATTTAAAACTATTCTCTGTTATAACTATAATCTTGAAAAAAATTAGAAATATTTTAAATTACTTATTATTATTATTATTATGTTAACAAAACTATACTGACAAAAATAAAATAGTTTCAAAAAATAATGTAATAAAAAACTATCTACAAATTAATTCTCATAACTCTAGGAGGAGAATACTAGTAATTGGATAAGGTAATTAAGAAAATAAAAGAGTTAAGGTTAAGAAATGCTAAGGTGTCAAGATCTTTCCTATAGCATCATAATTAAAAATATATAAAAACTAACTACAATCTATTCCTCATGATTATCTACGAAGTACAAGTATTTAGATAAGGAGATCATGAATATAAAAGGGTTAAATGATAAGAAAATGCTTGCTGAGAAATAATTTGAACTCTGAACTTAGAAATCCCTATCCGTTCCCCGTGCTTGAGTACCCGATACTCTTATTTTATTTTTCTCGGTTCTCTCTTTTTTTTCCTCTCCGTTTTTTTGAAAGTTACCATGAAGAAAAGGTAGAGGAGATGGATAGGGATTCAAAGAGATAATGTTGTTAGATAGTTAGAGATTTTCTAGGATAGTGGGTTTTATTTGTTAAATGTGGGTTTAGGTATTATCTTTGTCACGTTCCAAAAAAATTGGTATTACAAAATTTGAACGTGACCTCTTCTATTTCGGAACTACGTTGCTGATATCAAGGTTTTAAATATCGGATATCGGGGAAATATCGGATAGCCAAAATTCATATCGGATTGCAGATATCGGGGAAATATCGGGGATATGTGGTAAATATCGGAATGCCATAAAGAATGTTTGCATACATAGTATAATGCATTAAAATGTAATCTCAACATATGTAATGAAATTTAAGCATTTAAAATATGAATAATATATGTTTATGATCACTAATCAACCTTCTAAAACAAACAAAAGTGCAAAGCAACATTGCAATATTCGATCTGCTTTTTTTAGGGCAAAATGTCATTTGAAATAATGGGGAAATCTTGATATCTCGCCCAAACATTCCAAACACGGTATATTATTTTGTAACAAGCTATATAAAAAGATATATTGGTCCACATATCGGCTAATATATCGGTCATATCGGGGATTTATCACTCAAAATAGCCAAAAAGCGGTAAAGAATATTTAAAGACCATATCGGTTGCGGCAAGCCCTGTAAAAGGATATATCGGGGGATATATCGGGCCATGTCGGGGATATTTAAAACAATGGCTGATATTTATGTTGTGTCAACCATCTCATTTATTGTACACTCTATATCCCTTCTAAAGTTACTGTAACACACTACCATTTACCAAAGTTTGAGTATCTCTTTATTTAAAAGCAATGACATTATTCAATTTTAGTGTAGATACCACTTCTTATTCCATTGTGAATGGTATGTAGTATGTACAATGGCAAACTTTCAAAGGACTACTAGTCTCTGTCTTAAAGTCATAGATCCATAGATGTTCCTCATCTATCATAAGCTCACCAATCTTTTGACTATACAAGTTTGTTTTGTCCCTCTTCAGAATTGTAAACATCTTTGCAATATTTATAATCTTGGACTTTGTTTTAATAGGAAGCAATGGAGATTATGGTTGCTTGCTCCGCAATGGCTGCAGCAAAAGGGGAAGAACAGTCACAAGAAAGTGAATCGAAAAAAAGCAAATGGGCTAAATGGAAGCGTGGTGGGATCATTGGTGCAGCTGCACTTACGGGAGGAACGTTGCTGGCTATTACTGGAGGTAGTATCCTAGTTTTAGGGGAAATATTTTATGTCCTTTTTGTCAAACCAGGTTCTTGGATTTCAGGTGCTAATGTTTTATTTTCTTGTTTAACTGTTACTTCATCAGGTTTAGCTGCTCCAGCCATTGCTGCAGGCTTCAGCGCTCTAGCTCCCACATTAGGAACTCTGGTTCCTGTTATTGGAGCAGGTGGATTTGCTGCAGTAGCTAGTGCAGCAGGATCAGTGGCTGGGTCTGTTGCTGTTGCGGCATCATTTGGAGGTGGACTTCGCATTCTTTTTATTTTTGAATGCTTCACACAATAGAAGAACAGATTTATTCGATTCAGTGCACAGAACCTACATCAGTTGGGAATATAATTCCTTCAACTCAATTTCTTCTCTTGGATCTTTCAATAAGTATGAGCTAAGCTGATGACATAAATATGAGACTAGTGATGGTGACTTGTGACAGGGTTGATAATTCTCTAAAGTATAAAAAATAATGCTTTTAGGTTATACCATTGTTCAGACTTCAGAGGAATAAGAGAGGGATAAGTTTGTGGAATATCTCGAGATGAGAACATCATGAGAGTACTCGATTTGCAATATTAGCCATTAGTTGCCACTAGAAAAATTGAAGTCTTTGAGTACCACAGGTCCTTATATATATATAGGTATGAGAAACCCAAGTTCTAACTAGAATTAAACTTAAAGTCTTCATTAATCCAACTTGCAAAACAATATAACCAGATAAGAAAACAAAAGAAAGCAATCTTTATAGAAATTAAATCCAATCTTCCAGAATTTACAGAATGTCTTCATGATTCTTCTATTTTCAAGGAACATCTCATAGCTATAGGGAAGAATTCCTTTATGTTGTGTTTATTGCACCTTAAATTTGTCACTTGCACATCACAAGCAGGCAGATTAACTGTATGAGTTCCCCTTTGTTTTTGGATTTTCTCTGTGTACGATTGGAACCTTGAATCACCTATATGGGAACAGCAAATAATTGCATATTAATTGGCAAATATTTGAAATGCCTTATTTAATATTTTAAAATTTTTATTCCTCAGGTCAAGTTTCTCTTTTTTTATTTCTTTTAATCAACCACTTGAAATAACCTTTTTCATTTCTTCTCTAATCGTTGTTAAGGTAGTAGTGTTGAAATGATTAAATGAATTGACAGGACCTTAAAGTGTCAGGTACAACTTTTTAACTTTAGGAATCATATATGTTGACAAGCTAAATATACTTTGAGGTATGTAGGTGACAAATAACCGTTTAACTCCGATAACAACCTAAGCTTCAAGTAAAATAATTCTTGTTAACCTAACCAGCACATCTTTGTCATAACCCGTGTTGATAAGATGTATATTGGCCAAACCAAGTTCATGTAACAAATAATGTGCTTGCTCTGTCAAATACAGCTGCTGGAGCTGGACTTTCTGGGACTAAAATGGCTAGAAGAATAGGCAGCATTGAAGAATTTGAATTCAAACCTATTGGAGAAAATCATAATCAGGGTGTGAGTCAACTTTCCTCTTCTTGTTCTTTTTTTGGTTTATCTAGAAGTCTAAAGGGTTCCTCTTTACCTGATTCACATAACAAGTTTATTAGGCTTAAAAGAATGCAGCAATACCTTTGAGGTTGATGTCTACAAGATCTCAACATTTCATCTGATTCGCAATTTTTTTCTCGTGGTCACAGCATCTTGCAGTTGGTATCTTAATTTCGGGTTTTGTTTTTAATGACGAAGATTTTATAAAGCCTTGGGAAGAATGTGAAGATAACTTGGAGAGGTACTTCTTATATCTTTTACGGCATGCATAGCATGACTTTTCGTTGGCATCTCTCCTTAGAGCTGTGCCTTTGTATCTTATCTGTGTCATAATTTAGGGCTTTGGATTCGGAGATTATTATTAGAATCTTATTATCTATCATAATTTTCTTGTGAACTCATCTCATATACATTTCCTTATGGGTCCATGAAAATCATTTGGTGGCATTCAGTAACATATCATAGTATGCACGGATGTCATCATATTGAAGAGTGCAGTATTGTTAACCCAAGTATCTAATCAAATTATTATGTAAGTGTTTTTATTTAATGCCATAAAATGATTAAGAAACCAATTAGTTTTATATTAATTTTTGAATAAAATGTTACTTAAAATTGACAAAAATCTTGAATTTCGAATTCTTCAAAATTCTTTAAATTAATTACGTAGACATTTTATCAATCTAGAAATCTCAAAAGAATTGCATATGCCTTGGAAACTCATTAAGAGTTGTTATGTTGAACAACTAATATGCTGTTAACTTTTACGTATATTGTCTCATGGTCAAGCATTTTATTGTACACATTAATTCTGACTGTTATTGTCAGATTATCTAATGCAATGCTTGAGCATTCAAGGAAAAATTACATTCAAGCCGTATTGGTCATCATCTGTATCATGGCCTGATAGTCCTTAAGGGTAGCAATCTCATCCAACTCACAGACCTAACTAGAACCTGACACATAAGTAGTAATATTAGAATTACTTAATTTCCTTCATGGCGTGTCATAAGCTGCTCGTTCACATAAATCCATTTGTTAAACACTCAGATTATGATTGGCATTTTAACCTATCTATGCAGGGTCACTCCGTTTTCCGTACTACATTGTTGATATTACAGACATTATATAGCCACCTCACTTAAGAGCTGTACACAAACCAGATATAATGCTAACTAACCCAGTTAATAGCTTAAGCTCATGATGTTTTGACTTGAATATGTTGCATCAACACACTCTGGAGGCTCTTTGTCCTGACACATGTCGGACACCTACAAGCAAGATACTCGGGAGGCTCACTTTAGAGCTGTACACTAATCCCTAATTTTCGCTTCTTAGGGCCAAGACTTGAAAGCAACCACAATTTATGTTAAACTAGGTTTTATGCTTGTGCAATGCACATGATTAAATATCATGATTAAGTATTTTTGATTTATTTCCTTACTAAAATTTATTTATCGACTTCACTTTGATGGTTTTTGCTCACTTATATCTCTAAAGTTTAACATTGTGATTATTTATTTTCTTTGATGTTCGTTTAAATGAGCTACATCTAATTTACATTTTCATGTTGATAATTGAGTTAACAGAAAATAAATATAATTTGAAGCCAGTTTGAATTATCATGTTATTTGGACCAACATGAAATCAAGATTGACTTGAGAAAGTATAGTGTTGCAAAAGTGCAAAACACTTGAAAAAATAGCGCTATAAAAATGAATAATTAAAGCTAAGAAGACAAGATGATTGGTTAAAAGTGGGCTAAAACGACATAGAAGAGAATCTGGAGTTTGTTCCTAATCCTTGATAAACTTTAAAAAAAATCATAAATTAAAGACTAATGCTAACTCTTGTACACTTTTATATGACAAAAGCATCAGCATAAGCATATAAAAGGTACTAAAAGAGTTCATGAAAATCCTTTCTAAATATTCATAATTTACTTAAAAAATAAACTATTCTATAAATTATACAGAAAACAATGTCTTTCATTATTTCTGTTTCATTTTTTATTGAGTCAACATCAATTCTTCTTGACCTTTATCTTTTTTGAAAAAATTAGATGACATTTAGATGCTGGAAATGGATAGTAAACCTTAAATGGAAGTCTAATTTATATATATTAATGGAAGAAAATCAAACAACTATTCTTTTCTTTGCTAAGTTTTAAAATTTTAGTCTTTGTTTGTGATTTTGAATTTTTGAGGGTGTGTTTTGCATATTTTGTAACTCTAGAAGTGTTGAAAATTTTAAATCTTAAGTTGGGTGCTTGTAATGCTGGTGGTAAGTTTTCGAATATTGAGATGTTTTTTACAACTGAAATTTTAAGGATGTTTTTTGTAATTATAAAAACTTTGGATCGTTTTTTGTAAAATTTAAATTTTCAGCGGTCTACTGATAATTTCTAGATTTGATATGTACTGGTTATAGGTTTAAGAGTTCAAGTTTTTGCGTGATTTTTAATTTTTGAAGGAGTTTTGTATAATTTTTTAACTTCGAGGTTATGTTTTAGAAATTTTAAATTTTTAGATGCCTGATAGTAATCCCTTGAATTCGTCTATGTTGTTTGCAAGTTTTAAAATTTCAGGGTGTTTTTTTTATTATTTGCTTTTTTGAGAGTGTTTCTACAATTTTTGAAATGTCAAGGGTATTAATTGCAGATTTTAAATTTTTCGGAGGCTGTTGCTAATTTTTATATTTCATTTTTTTTATTTTAAGTTTTAAAACATCAGGCTGTTTTATGTAATTTTAAACTTTTGAGAGTATTTTGTGCAATTTTTAAAATTTTTTGGGTTATGTTATAATACTTCATATATTATAGCATGTGAGTTCTTTAAAATAACAAACTAATACCGTGAAAGTATTCCATGTAATTTATTAATGTAATACTTCATATATTATAGCATGTTAGTTCTTTAAAATAACAAACTAATACCGTGAAAGTATTCCATGTAATTTATTAATCTTGTTTGTTTTAAATTGTTGAGTTGTAGGTAGTTCACATGGGATTAGGATGAGAGATAAATCAGATAATTATGATTTGGATATATTAAGATTTAAATAAAATATGCAAAATAGTGAAGGATAATATTGACTATAGAAAGCTTTTCCCGACTCGTACTTTTAAGGAAGTATGATTAGTATACTTGAAGAACGTTGAAAGTTGGGACTCGAGAAACAGTATCTAAAAGATGGCATAAGAAATTGATGCATTTGTAAGAAGTCAGTGGTAGATTGTACGTATGTGAGAGAAGGGTCAAGAGAGAACTTTGTCATGTAAAATGAAGATCAATGAGTGTCCTTGTTCTGATGGCTGATATGATCAGTCATTGTTTTAAATATTGAATCTTTACCGGACGATCAAAATTCATTTTGGAGTACGAAAATCGGGGTTAATTTCAGATATGTAGTAAATATCGGGGTGTCATATCAGATGATGTTCATATAAAATATAACATTCTAATATATAATTTAAATATATTTAATAATTTGTAAACATAAGAAACTGCATCATGATACATATCTAGGATGACTAACAAATTGTAGAAATTTTCTTCTTGATCGCATCATGAAACCTTTCAAGTGATAGATATAGAGAGAGAGCGCTAGAGCGAGAGAGGAAAGAAAAAGGAAGAGAAAGAGAGGTCAGAGAGAGACAGAGAGGACAAAGACAGTGAGGAATATAGAGAGGAGATGGAGGGAGAGAGGGGAGAGGGACAGAGAAGAGAGAGTATGGGGAGGACGGAGAG